AGGCATCACGTCTACCACCGCCCCCCCCCCCTCCCCCCCCCCCCCGGACGAAATATAATTTATATAGATACTATATACTTTTACCAGTGCCCCCCCCCCTACAAAAATTACACCCCCCCCCCCCCACACCTTACCAATACATATTGAAGAAACACTGTTAGAATACCTTGTGAGGATAAGTAACAGAGGTGGACCTGTGGAAAAATTGTTTGCTTGAACGTGTGAACGAAGTAGCGCCGACCAAACCCCGCAACTGGTACAGCAAGAATATAGGCCGTGCCCTTTTGACCTCCGACATCCATGTTAACCTCCAAACTTCCTGTCGCCTCGGTACACGAAAGCTCCGGATATTCCCTTTTTTGTAAGGCTGACGTAAGGAAAATAGAAATATCTACGTGATGAGTTGTTTTGAAACACGTTCAGATAGGAAAACTTACCTAGCTAAAGATGATATATGGCTAAAATAATCTTGAGTTACGATAGTAAGGGAAGATTCCCAGAAGGGAAGATAACAAAGTACGAGCCGACCAGCGGCGTATTAAGTTGTTTTATTTTTAGTTATTCATAATTTGTGAATTCGACAGTACCACTGCTGTCACTGAAAATATTTGCTTTAAAACACTATCAGCAAGTCTTTAAGGACGATAACCCCCCCCCCCCCCCCCACCCTCCTTTTCCCCAACTCCTAACCCCGTGAAAGCAGCCCAGGGGCGTAGCGAGGGGGGGGCGGGGGGTGCGGACCGCACCGGGTGACACCATTTAGGGGGGTGACACCAAGGCAAAAAATAGCAAAATATATAGAAAAAAAACTCGAGGGGGGGGTGCAAATCGAAAGTTTAAGGGGGGGGGTGCAAATCGAAAAGTTGAAAGTTTGTCCCTGGGAAGGGTCTCTATGCCTCTGGGGGGGTGACACCATTAAGTGCCGCACCGGGTGACACCCGACCTCGCTACGCCACTGAAGCAGCCTCCTCTTAGCTACCTCCCCTAAGTTTAAAATCGTTTCAAACTACATTATCTGCCCCTAATAGCCTTCACTAAACCCGGCTCTATGATTGTAAACATTTAGCGTGAACCACAGCTCACTAGACTTCCTAGAGAGGAAGAGAGGGGACTGCAAGTCGCGCTTACAGCTTGTTTTCTAACGTCTCCAAGAAGAGAATTATATATATATAGATAGGTTAAATAGTGTGGATGTGAATTATGCATTTATTCGTGTGAAATTGATAAAATACCGATTAGTGTTAGTGGGGATTAGCAATTGGTGATCTCTATTTTACTTTCAACTTCCATTCTCATACAGTTAATTTGATATACATAAAAGTGACTTTAAAGACTAAAAATATCGACGTCATTGACCAAATTATCGCTGAGAACTTGTTTGTTCTGGGGAAGTGTGTCATCGAGGTTGACGGAGTTTTCAGGTCGAAGGAAGAGAAATATAGAAGCGTATCGAGGATTGGTCTCTGTTCGTGTCGATGTTGGGTTTAGGAAAACGATATGTTTACGTCTTAAAGTCCAGTGCTAAATTAAAATTTAAGCTTACGGATAGAGATTTTGTTTGTGATATAATCAGCTTTGATTTCTTATACATATATATATATATATATATATATATATATATATATATATATATATATATATATATATATATATATATATATATATATATATATATATATATATATATGTGGGACGGAGTGGTCTAGCGGTAGAGAGCTGGACTGCTAATCCGTATGTCTCGAATTCCATCCGGGTTCAAGTCAGTAGACCGTCCCTGAGTCCACCCAACTCTGATGGGTACCTAACTCACGTAAGGAAAAGTAAAGGCGGCTGGGCATAGTGCTGACCACTCTATCTCTTCATATGCCGAGGTCACAGAAACAAGTGAACTCTACTTCACTTGCCCGATAGTCCGTCAGGTTTGAAAGGGAAATTTGACTATAAAGCCTATATATATATATATATATATATATATATATATATATATATATATATATATATATATATATATATATATATATATATATATTGATATTGTTAACTAAAAGACCTATATTTTAAAAGAAATCAGAAACGCGATAAATTATGTGCAAATTGCAATATAGATCTAAATAGAAAGTGATATTTTGACGCCAAGGGTACAGAATATAGTCCAAGTAGAGACAGAGCAGTTTTAACCCAACGGGATCCTATCCTACCATTCCACGCGGCACCTTCCATGCATCAAGTCAGACGTGTGAAAACACTTCTGCCAATCAGCCCTACAAAAATAGAACTTTCATGGCAGACCCGAAGAGATCCCTGGAAGAAACACTGTCAGCAGTTGGACATTGTTGACGCACAAAAGTTCAAGTATTCCGTGGCGTTCAGTGCGCCTTTTTACGGTGTGCAGTAATTTAAAACTAATTAAACTTTCCTCAAACTTGTAGATACACAGCAGGAAGTTTACAATGCTAAATATATAATAGACCTAAAGATACGATGGCAGATCTTCTTCACAGAGGGAGTGATCCCTCCTTAACTCTCTCGTACTTTTCTACATAACAGTTAGGCGGAAGACACTTCTGTGGTCTATTGAAATGCTTTACACGAGTTATTACAAGCTTTTATTTTATTTGCTTTCTCTGTCATGCTAAGTTCTTTGTCACGCGTCTAAAAGACCTCGAACAGAGCGATTCTTTTCAAAATTGTCGCGGTAGTAAAAAACAACAGATAACAATGCAATGTGTCTTAAATTTGACTTATTTTTTAATTTTTAATTAATATTTAAAAAAATTGGATAGAATCGAATCGAATAGAAAAAAGAACTGCGCACCAAATGAACGCAAACAAGCTGTGTATCTTATACATATAGCATACGAGTGGTATTTTATAAATGGAAACATTGATTAATGCAAAAATTTAAAAACAAGTTAATTAAACATCTAAGTCACATTTTGTGTAATAGGGCTTTGTCATCTAGCCTTGGTGTGCATGATAATTTTTGAAAGAAACCCGTCCAAAAAAGTGATTTTTTTAGAGAAATTAATAAAGCTTGAAGTATTACTTCAGGACACCGAAAATCACTCACATTTTTAATCAAGAGAATGCGAGTTTATGACTATGCATATAATATCATTCATATATTTAAATTGGTACTCAAAGTCTAAGTATTTCAGAAACCAGAAATAGAGTGAAGTACCACATTCGGCTATTTGAGGTCACTTAAAAAATTTAAAGTAATCCAAGTATAAGATCTTATACTTATATATGAAATTTGTCTACTTAAGTTTTAAACATTAATAGAGAAAATAACCTTTTCCGTTTACTAAAAATCGTCCAAACGTTGATAATAACCTGCGCATACAGTGTAATACTTATATGTGAAATTTCATCAATTTGTCTGAACAAGTGCTCCAACTATTGGCTTTTGGGTAGACGGGAAAAAGAGGAAGTGCACTTCCGGTTAATGGAAAATCGTTCAAAAGTTCATAAAAACTATAGATTTTCTATAAAATGTCTACATGAAATTTCGTCAACTTAACTGAAACGGTACTCAAGCTATTGTGTTTACCGACGGACAGACAAAATGCATGCCGACGGATTTAACAGATCAAAATTTGTCAAAATCTCTATTTAGATGTTTAGGAAAATTACAAAACATCCTTACATCCTTAATATTCTGTATACAATAAAATAGGCAGTTGTAAAAAGGCGAAAACTATGAAAATACCTTTTAAGTATGCAGCATGATTACAATACATGTAATATGCTCTGTATTCAATAAAAATTAAAAAAAAAATCGTTTTATATGTTAAACATGGCGATGCGTAAATAAGTATGCTAATACGTTCATGCATTACTTAACTAGCTTATTGTATTTAAACCCTACATTAAATCATTACATGGCGTCATTTTGGTAATACATAACCAATCATTAATAACACATATATTAAAACCTTTTCATAGCAACAAGCTTTTAAATACACGGGAAAAAATAATTAATCTCTTTCAAACATAACGGCCAATGGGGCAAGTGAAGTAGATTTCCCCTGTTTATGTAACCTCGTCATATAATAGGTATATACCAGGGGTCGGCAACCTGCGGCTCGCGAGCCGCATGCGGCTCTTTTGACGTCCAGATGCGGCTCTCCAGCTCCTTACACAAATATTAATAGTTATATAATTTCATTTTTACTGAACGGTGGGGTACGAGTTTACCCTGCGTTCAGTGGGAGGGGAGATAAGCCTGGTGAGAACCAAAGGATAGGAGCGAACGATGCAAGTTATTCAAACCGATATCCAAGCCAGTTAGTCAGCGTTTGCCGTGTTGAGGCCTGACTGGCTAATGGGAGACACCTCCTGAGCCTGTGATATCCGTAAAGAAAAAAATAAAATAAAAATTAACAGCTTCTAAATTGGATTGAGATAGTCCTAGAATAATATTATTTGATTACCAATGTTACTATTCTGGCGAAACATGTCTATGTTTTTATATGCATAAATATTATTTCATATTTAAAGCTATTTATTTTAAATAACAAATCAACTTTTTTTACCTAATCCTATTCAAATACCGAATATTGAACTAAAAATGTTGTGGCTCTTTAAAAACTGGGAAAGTTAGTAGATTGTAACTTTTGGCTCTTGCCGACCCCTGGTATATATCAAATAACTTTAAACTAGCTGAAAAAGTATAGACAGAGAGACAGACCCTCGTATGCACACACTCGCCCACCACACACACACAATTGCAAAGCTACGTTTATTTGATTAAAATGTATTATATTACCAGGTAAACGTTGAAACACTAAGTTATATTCACGCATGTGCAAAACGATACAATTTAATAAGGGATGACCGAAAGAAACTCCTGACTTTCTTCTGACCATATAAGGATTACTTTCTTGTAACTAAATTTAGATACCGCTCTTCTTGTTATTACTTACTCACTACTTACGTGTCGAATTACGTGACAAATTACATGTCAAATCCTGTTTAGAAATAAAACGCCACCATCTCGTCAGAAAGTGAATTCATTCTCCCCACATCGCCCGGAGAGCAGGTAGGTTTCTTTGTGAAAAGTTTAAAATAATTTTACAATTTTTAAATATGTCATTGCATTGCTATTACATCTAAACTGGTTGCTACTAATTATTTATTATAATCTGTGTTAAAGTAATTATTCTATATATTTTTTCAAGAAAAAAATAAAGTCTACTACCTATTACTTTTAAACCGCTTATAAGTTTGTAGTAATATAGTCGCTGAATTTACTTTTTTTTTGCAATCAGCTTCTTGGTAACGAGGTGCGAAGAATCAAACCTTTTGAAAAATTTTTGTTCACAAAGCTTAGTTGTCACCATTTAATAAATAAATACTCAGTGGAATAATAAAGAGCTATATAGATGCCAGGGGTCAACGTCAGGAATAGTTGTCCCTACATTATATATATATATATATATATATATATGTATATATATATATATATATATATATATATATATATATATATATATATATATATATATATATATATATATATATATATATATATATATATATATATATATATATATATATATATATATATATATATATATATATATATATGTGTGTGTGTATATAAGACAATCCATAAATTTTTAGCAAAACCATAAGCCTTAATTGTTTTTTAAATTTTTAAAATTTCAATAGTGCACGGCTTGTCTACAGTGAGCATAGCATGCGTAACTACAACTTTGACATTTAGATGAGGTGTGAATGCTCTGATCGATAAAGGAATTAATCACTCTGATGATTTGGGTACCTAGAATCTTGAAAATTATTTAAACTGTTTAGTTCTTTGGCCCTGGGTAAATAATGTGTCGTTTTTTAAACCGACTCCCCCTGACCATCGTCACCCAAATCCAGACTCCCGCCTACCTCTCATTTATGAACGACCCCACTCCCTCCACATACACGATGTACTCGCCATTAAATTTTTGAAAAGATGTTAAGACTACTACTGGAAAAGTTTCTGCGATAAAAAAAAAATCGGCGGGGCGACATCGCCGCAGTAGGATTAGCCTTTAGCGCCAAGCGTTTCCCAGCGGCCATCTTAGCACCTGGGATCAATATACTGCACAGTAAGTTAGGGACACTGCTTAATTCTACTGTCGAACTGCAAGAGGGGCGGTTTCCGATGTCCCGGCAGTTGGGTATACCGGGATGCGGGAGTTCTCATACTAGCACAATGGCGCCGACTTTCGTTTTAAAGAGCAACTGACTTCTGACTTTAGGGGCACGGTGGGCTTAATTAAACAATCGATGATTAAACCTAACCAGAGATCACACTTGCGCCCCTGTGGTAGTGTTATAATTGGCTCTCATTTGTTTTCCCGAACAAATGACACGTGTAAAATTATTACACGACTGTTAACGCGTTGATGAAACCTTTATGCAATGTTTCGTGACTGTGGTGTGTAAGACTAGATTGAAGTATTCTCGAGTATTCTTAGATAACATTAATGGGGATGGCAACTCCAGTGCAGTCGGGATCAGTGTTTCTTCCAGACTTTTTTCTCCGGGGGGGGGGGGGGGGAGGGGGGGCACTTGAAATTTTCGGGGGGGGGGGGGGGGCTCCTAGATAAAAGTCATTGCGGCTTTACACCAATTATCCGATCGCCTTGAAACTTTGATGAGTTTATTAGAACACTAAAAGGAAGGTTTCTGTGAAAAAATGTTTTTTTAGTTAGCAAGGGCGGCGCCCCGGTGGACCGATCGCCATGAAACTTTGTATATTTATTGAGAATGCTCTCGAAAAAGCTTCTGCGATAAAAAAATATTAATTCCTTATGTACGGCGCCCGGAAGGGTGCGATATTTTACAATACATGGTTTGGCGCCCAGAGTTACAGAGCGGCTATCTAAGCACTTGGTATCCGTTAATCGAATGTCCTGCATAGTGGGTAAGGAGTACTTCTAAATTTAGCGTTAAAACTTCAACAGACGCAGCCGCCGGACCCCAAGCTATTGCGGGACTAGAAGCGCTTTAGGCTCCCTTGTGAGCAGTATGGCGCCTACGTTCGTTTAAAAAAAAAGCCGATAAAATAAAGACACGATTGGCAACAATAATCGTTGACCTTATCGAATCTGGCCCGTCCTCTGGCGTCTCAACAGGGGGCGATTTGGCGCCCCGGGCTTACCATTGAGCACCATGGCTTCTACGTTCGTTTTAAACAGCACGATAGGCTATGTATAGGAGTGCCAGGAATCTTTGGGGAGTTTATGAGAATACCCTTCAGAATGTTTCTGCGAAAAAAAAATTAAAATTTCTTATGTGCGACGCCCGGGAAGTTGCAATTTTTGACAATACACGATTTGACGCCCATAGTTCCAGTGCAACTCTCTAAGCACTTGGTATCCGTTAATTGGGCGTCCAGTATAGCAGGTAAGGAGTACTACTATATCCAGCGTTAAAAATTCAACATGCTCAGCTGCCGGTGCCCCGGCTATTGCGTTACGCTGAGAGCCCCGGGCTCCACAGAGAGCACTATGGTGCCTACGTTCGTTTTAATAAAAAGGCTGTACACTAAAGACACGATTGGCAACAATAAACGTTGACTATATCAAATCAAGCGCACCCTCCGGCGCCTCTGCAGTGTTCAATTTGGCGCTCAGGGCTTTTCCGTTTCAATGGCGCCTACGTTCGTTCTAAACAGTGCGATAGACACGGAATAAGATGGGGCGTTGTAGTGGCTCACTAAATTCAATCAGGTGCGTTCGCTGGAGCCCCGTTATTGTGCAATTTGACGCCCCGGGCTATCCCTTGAACGCTATATCACATACGTTCATTTTAAACAGTGCAACAGACTATGAAAATTCTCACGATGGGAATTTAGAGTCGTTCACTAAACATAATCAGTTAAGCCCACCGGCCCACTGGTAGGGTGCGATTTGGCGTCGTGCGCTATCCTGTGAGCACTATAGCGCCTATTTTTTTTAAAGAGCACCCTATAATATGAACAAGAAAACCTAGCCAGGAGCCGCACGCGGCGCCCCTGAGGTTTTGTAATCAGGCGCTCACGAGAGCACCCCTCTACGTCCCCGACACTTAGGCGGTGAGTGATTTACGTTGATATTACGGCGAGTGATTAACTTACACTTAAGGCTTTCGTATAGCAATGGGTGGTAGTGTAGGTAAACTCCTGTCCCGATAAATATTATCCAAGCCCATGCATTGTTTACATTTAAATAACTCTGGTTTAGAAAACAAGAATATAGGATTCGTAAAGACATTATTATTTGTTTTTCCTCTTCGTTACTACAATTTTCATCCGATCGCCACAATACTTTAGGAAGTTGTTGAAAAAATTTCAAGATAGGTTTCTGTGGAAGAAAATATTTTAATTTCGCACGGGCGGCGCCACGGCAGGGTGCAATTTGGTGCCTCAGACTATTGTATTAGCGCTATGGCCCTTAAGATCGTTTTAAACAGTGCGATAGAATACGTATAAAAAGCAGTATTATAGACCGTTCAATAAATTGAATCAGGTTCATCCGCCCATGAACCGGCAGGGTGCTATTTGTCACGGACTATCCTCGGACTTTTTTTTTACCTCGCGGCAACGCGCGGGGACGGGCACGATAGTACTTTATAAAGAAAGACAGAGTTATCAAATAATAAATAAACTCATATGCTTTTTTTGAGAAATCGGAAATAGGGTGAATTACTACTTCCGATCACCGGAAATTACTTAAAACTAGTCAGAAAACAGAGAATTAGATCTTCTACATATATGTGAAATTTCTTTTATCTGACTACAACAGTACTTAAGATGTAGGCTTTTAAAAAAAAAAAAACGAAAGTAGAATCATTACCACTTCCGTATAACGGAAATCTCTGAAAAGTCGATACAGAACTACACATTTGATATAAAACTTTTATATTAATTATGGTCAACCTAGCTGTAACGGTACTCAAGTTATAGATAAAAACACACAAACACACACTCACACCGACATACGTACACAAAGCAAAACAAAGTTTTTTCAGACGTCGAGATTTGTGAAAATCTCGATTTCGATTGTATGAACGATTTTAATATTTCCTCTGTACTTCGCATTGAAAATATAAGCGATTATCCTTGAAAAATACAGCAGATGCTTGAAAAATAACATGAGTGACGACCTCCTTTATATAGGCCTATGTATTAAAAATGTGATCTACCGACACATTGGAACGCCGTGTGATTGTAGATGATCGAAAAAAACATACAAAAATCTTTATTTTCTGTTTCTGTAATATTCTGTTTGATATTGTATCAAAGGAACCACCACATAAACTCAAATCAGTTCTATATACAACTTGCCATCCTCACATACAGAATTGACTGCGGTTTAAAAACGAAATATAAAAGTCGAATAATTCCCTACGCAATGCTGGAAAATGTATTTCATAAAATTGACTTATCCTGTTTTTTCTTGTATTAACTAGAAAGACGTTGGATCATCACAACATTATGGCTACTCAAGAAGATACATCAAATTACTTTATAGGTATTGTTTTATATTTAAAATAAACAGATATAAAACATTATAAGGAAGCTTTTAAATGCACTAAATAATAACATAACAAACTTGTTTTCGTTATTAATAAAAAACGTTGGTCGCCTAATTGTTTGATTCATTCTTCAGTTCTTATTTTAGTATATTTAGATGGCGATGGTTGAGATGGTTGAGATGGTTGTGACAGTTGGAGGTTGTAGAAAGTATTCTTCTTTTATAATTGTCAACGACTAATAATGAAGTGTTTACAGTGATACAATTGTTTTGTTTACCTGTACAGGTACACATGAGGTACAGGAATGTCTTGAAAGTGAAGGTGAGGCATCTTTGGATTTTTATAAGAAAAACTGTAAAAAAACCCATGGTGATTATATACCTGTTAATAAATTTACCATTGAACATTTACCTGCTGAATACCGTGACAAAGACCTGTATGACATCACAAAAGCCCTAGCCGACATCACAGTAAGGATAAACGTTAATTACGCTAGTCCAGAAAGACCAGAGTTTCTACCAAAGTCTTTATTTCCATATCCTTGCTACGACACCAGGGGACAGAAATCACGGCACACAGGCACTGGTAGAGTGCTTGAGGTGACAAAGATGACAGAGAAACCGGAGGGGACCTTCAAACATTGTCCATGTCCTGAATGTGTCAAGTCAGACACACCCAGCAAAGAGTGGTACTGGGTTGAGGTGTCAACAGCCAGACACGTGATTTTTGATGAGAGTGAGGCAGTTCAGTCCAGCTGTAGGTTGTGGTTTGATGATGACAAAAGTCCAGTGGTCAACATGAAAGGGTATTGTGTTCACTTGGCTCCAGGATCCTTGAAATCTGACATCGTTTATATGAATTGCGCATTACATAACATGGAAGCAGGTGAACAACTGGAGAAGACGTTTGAGCGGTATAAAGGTTTGTGGGAGAAATTAAATGATAAATACAAGAGTACTGGAGATGTGGAAAGGCTGACCATTATAGTGTCACATCCTCATGGCTGTTCCAAGCAGATCTCTGTAGGCTACTGGGTGGACAGGCAGATACATGGGATTTCTGAAACCAGGTACTCGTACACAAGTTGTACCTGTCCAGGTACCAGTGGGGCTTCGGTCTACAGATTGGGGTGTGAGTGGTGTGGCCATACCCACAGTGGAGCTAACTCTGGTGGATTAAATTATAGTGGGTTGCAGATGGAACAGTATGCAAAAACATCTGGCCGCTATTTAGTGTCTGGTTCAGAAGAGGAATTAGTATTTTAAAAAAGAAAAAAACACACGTGATGAAACAAATCAGTTGTATAGCTCGTTGCTTGTTTGAGTTCTGAGAAGGAAGAAAGAAAACATTTTATCTTGGTCGAAAATTTACGCAAATTTAATGTAAAACTAATCAGTAAGGGAAATAGAAAAAAAGACCCCCCCCCCCCCCCAACACTAAAAGCAATTTTTGGGTCCCATAGGTACATATATATATATATATATATATATATATATATATATATATATATATATATATATATATATATATATATATATATATATATATATATATATATATATATATATATATATTCGAGCTTTACACCCGAGTTTCGCCACGGTGTGAAACTGTGCAATGTACTTTATGGAGGATAGAAAAACATGAAATTAATTTTACAAAATCAGATATTAATATGAATTTGCATGGGGAGAGGATAGCAGAAGAGGAAATTTATAAACACGAACCCAACCTGCACGACACCATGAACTACAAACCAACCCCCACACCAACTTTTCCACACCCAAACCCCCCAACCCCTTTACCAACACGACAAACCCCACTACACCACACAGCATAACCCAAAGCTCACCTTACTAACCCCAGGATCCACACCCAATCGCTCATACCACCACAAACATGCGATTCACCATACGCTAAACCACACACAAACAAAACTCAACACACGGAATAGATCTAAACCCACACCACCTCGCTCCAGACCTTAACGCATACCTCCTCACACAGCACGACACCATGAACGACACACCGAACCAACCCCCCTACCCACACACACACACACAACCCAGGTCCACACGTCACCGCACTCAACCTAAATCCCAACATCATAATCCCATCCCGCACTAAAAACGCACTTCACTCTAAAATATACAATAAAATCAAAAGTCTACGACCCTTATCCTACTATCTCACATAGGACAACCCTCACCTTACACTATTAATCACATTATGTACACCCAATCACTTATCGATCTCCATTGTTCTAGCCACACCACACTACCCTATACCCTAAGCGCAAGAAACACAACACCCACTTAACCCCAAGATCCACAGTCATTCATCTGAGACCATACATATTAGCTCTCATTACTCCACCCCAACACATCTCTCACACATACATCACACATACCTCACACGTACATCACACACCATTAAAGATTATATCTATGATGTGTTTTTCAAGTTGATATAGCAACCAAAACTTTAACCCTAATTATTGCATGAATCATAATACTCTCTTATATCTTATTAAACCATCGTTATTAAGCTAACAGCAAAACCGGAAGCAGTTCAAATTTTTTATTGTTTACGGTAGCAAAGAGACACCTGTTTCAACTAACAGCAAATTCAGCAGGATTTAAAAATAAATAAATACGTAATAATCTTTAATATAACACTTATAGTTACCACAAATACAAATAATCCTAACACGCAATCTTTTTTTTAAATAAAAAACCGTATCACAATAACCAATTCGGTAGAGGAAAACAATGTAGTTAGATCTAAAAAAAATGAAAACTTAAATGTTAAAGTAAGTGTTATAAAATGTTTCCCCTTTAAATTGCCCCCATTAAAAAAAAATAATTAAAAAGTAAAATTAAACTAACATTTTTCGTTTTACTGTTTTTTTTTTCAACCAATTAACCAGAATATCATTTGACATTTAATGTATACAATTGTACTAAGTGCATGATTATAATCTTTTCTGTTTGTTCATTGTTTAATCTATTTCATTGAAATTATATCGATAATGAGATCGCAAGCCACCAGAAATAGTGCCCAAACCTAATTGGAGCCCAATATGATCGAGTTTTAAAAATTTCTAATTATGTCGTATCCACCTAAAACCATAAAAAATGGATCTTTAAAATCTGGCAAGACGGTAAAATTGAGAACCTTGATATATGTAATGACTTCATGTTTATATTTATTTATCCCAATGTTTTTGTTATATTCATACCAAAATTATTTTGCTTAATTTCTTTTTCATATCTATGTCATTCTGTTGTGTGCTTTATTTGAATAATAATCAAGAGAAGCAAGTGTTTTTTTTTTTGCTTAGTACAAAATATATTGTTAGCTTAAGGTTAACAATCGCATCAATAAATTTCGAAGACTAAAATGTAATTTTTTTCAACTTTTGTCCAATATATCCGCTGTCATTAAAAACTTCTGTGAATAAATTATATGCGAGTTCTTCTGTTTTCACGTCTTCACGTCATTACAAACTACTTATTAAATATTATTGCATATTTAAGCACAAAACAGTTATCAAGTCAAATTTCATTAAACAATAAAAACATATTTTTTGTTTATATAAAACTCTTATTAAGGGGATCTGCTAAGTTTATTTCTATTTTTACTTTCTCGTATAGAGAAAGTATTGTAATCGTGCAAAAAAAAAACAAAAAAACTCGAGATTTTTACAAATCTCGACGTAGTACACCTCACTGATACGGAAAAACATAATTTTGCAATCTTGTCCGTATGTCTGTGTGTCTGTCTGTGTGTCTGTCTGTGTGTCTGTCTGTGTGTAAACACGATAACTTGAGTACCGTTACAGCTAGGTTGATGAAATTTCATATATAAGTATTTTATCAAAATCGTAAATCCTGATAAACTTTTGAGCGATTTCCGATAACCGGAAGTGGTACTTTTTCTACTTTGAATTTTTCAAAAACCTATAACTTGAGTACTATTTCAGATAGATAAATGAAATTTTACATATAAGTACAAGATCTAATTCTCTACCTTCTTTCAAATTTTGAGTAATTTCCGTTGACCGAAAGTACTAATTTACGCTATTTTCGATTTCTCAAAAAACGCATGTAAATTTATAAAGTACTAATAATATTGCGCACTATTATACACATTTTGTTTTGACGTTCGCTTGGTGCGCAATTCTTATTTCTATGAGATTCTATTCTATTATTAAAAGTTTAAGTAATTAAAAATCATGTCTATATTCCAAATTCTATATAATAGTTTCGCTGTCTGTGTATCTATCTGTGTATCTATGTATCTATCTGACAAGAACGCTCTAGAGAAAACACAAGCAATTTAAAAACTTTCACAGTGAAACGAAAACGAAATATGACGTCACATTTAGCATATAGTAGAAAATAATATCAAGCCGGAGAGTGCACACAGTAATATGACGTCATTGATTTTGTCTAATCTAAGTGGTTTGCGTGAAGAGTTTTTTCATACAATATTTCGGGTAGGGGCGAAGCCCCACCCCCGCGTAAGAACGTCTAAGCCCCCCCCCCCCCCTCCCCAACTCAAAAGAAATTTCTTCATCGATACTCTATAATAAAATTACCGCCTAATTAATGTGTCTAATCTAAAAAGTGGTTTTCTTGCAATTTCTTTAATGCAATTCTTCGGGTAGTGGCTAAGCGCGACACCAGTGTTTCTTTCAGACTTTTACCTCCCCGGAGGGGGGGGGGGACTTTTTCTAATCTATAAAGTGTTTAGCGTGCAGTTTTTTTTTCAAGCATCTCTTCCGGTAGGGGCGAAGCCCCGCCCAGATTCTTCCTTTAGTTTGTATGATCTACAAATGCGACCAGTGTTTCTTTCAGACTTTTTCCTCCCCGGAGAGGGGTGGGGGTACTTGAAATTTTCGGGGGCGGGGGTAGAATTTTCTGGGAGGGGGCGGACACTGGAAAAAGTATATAATTATATTTCGTTGAATGGGACGGTAGACATGTTTTGGAGTAGAGTTGCCTGAAAGAAACTCTAAATGCGACTTTTGTCATGAATGAGATTAGGTGCATGGTTTAGGGATATGCCTATGACTATATTTTGTATAAATTAAAGTACCGATTCTGGATAAAAATCCGTTTTCAATGTCATTTTTCGTTTCCGGTTAAATTGAATTGAGGTGGTGATTTTGGTTTTGGTTTTAGTTTAGAGAAAATAGACAGCACTATCAACCTAGCGCCCGTTGTATCCTTCCTCAACGGGCCATTTTTCTCGTTATAAAAAAATATTCGAGAAAAGTTCGGGGGAGATCACATCCGGTTTATTTATAAATTAAGATCTAAAGCCTTTTGAATACTTTTACCATGTTTGGTACATGAAAACAAGTAATAGCCAGCAAAA